AAGTGATCCTCCAAACACACCAGGTTCCTGTCTGAAAACAGTGAGCACATCTCTTCCTCTTGTTCAAAATGATTGATAGGCATCAGCATCACCTTTCTGGAGGGCTTCCTCAGTGAGCAAAGTTCATATTTCTGAGCTTGAAGTTCAAGGCTTTCACAGCCTTGACAGACTCACCATTTGTTATTGCGAAAACAAACTATTCCCAGTTCCACAGAACCACCTGCTGTTTTGTCTTCACACTGAATTTAATGGGAAAATCCTTCTTCCCCTGTCAGTTCTCTTTGCCTCTCATTTATTTTTATATGAAGACTTCATAATGTTTAGAGTTTCACAGCCCATGTCAGTCAACAAGCAGGCGATGATCACTGATTCCCTGTGTGACAATATGCTGAGGAGGAGAGAGAGCAGGGTGGGCTACACGGAGGCATAGAGGGATACCCCTTCCCTCTCCAAATACCCACCCCCAGTGGGAAGTGATTCCTCATCTCTTCTCAGGACTCCAGCTCAGCGTGATCTACCTTGGCATATTGTTCTGTATGCATCTTCTTCATCTCCTCCTTACAACAGTAGATTTATGGTTTGTCCATCATGTAAAACCTAGGACCCCGCTATACTCATAATCACTTACTATACAATCAGAGGAAAGAACACAGGGTGGGTCTTCATGTAAAACCTAGCATCCTGCTTTATGCATAATTACTTAATACGTGGTCAGCGGAAGCAACATGAGATAGCTGGAGGGACTGAGACACTATAAGAAATGTTGAAAGTCGTCTTCAATCAAGCCACAAATGCCTCTGGTTCTCACATCTGCAGATTATGGCTGTCACCACTGAGTTCTCGAAAATGAAATAACAGATGGGGATGCAGTTTCCAATTTATCAGATACATTTCTGTAGTTACTTACTGAGTATTCATAGGACAGAAGTCCTTTCTAAACACACAGAGAAACAGCACAGTGTGAACAGGATGCAGAGCAGTTTATGTTGTCTCTGTTCTCATCTCTTAAGAAGTCACAACAGATAGCATGTCTGCAGGGTTTGTGATATTCTGATTGCAACACCAATGAGTCTTTTTAGTCCCTCTTTCTTCATACACACAAACACCTGATTTTCATTACACACACACACACACACACACACACACACACACACACACTACACACACACACACAGGTTAAGAAGCCATTGACACAGCAGCATTGAACGGACAAAGCCAGCCCACCCACCTGTAGGTAAGTTTTCATTTTTCAAAAGAAAGAAATGGAGGAAAGAGGGAAGCAGAGAGAAAACCGCTGTCACTGAAAACAAGTCAGTATCATTAGAAATCTGCTTTATAGACAATACGAATCAATGTAAAAATTCTCTACTCCACCTTATTATTATGATGCAGAAGTGATGCATCCCTTAAAAATCATCTCCATGAGGTCCTCACTCTTTCCCTTATAAGATCTTTTACGGATTTATTTCTTTTGGGTACTGGGGCTTTGTGCATTCTCAGCAAGAAGAATTCTGCCCCTGAACTACATTCCAGCCTGGAGGCCTCACTTCGAAAGTCTCATTTAATAGAGATTCTACTTCCTGACTCTCTCACTGGATACTCAAGGGCAGAGATTATTAGGGTTAATCATCACCAGAGAAGTAGGGAAATACCTGCTGCTTTGCTCACATCCACCAGCCCAACACGTAGTCAGAACAGCACAGAAGGCCCACCCATAGGTAGCATGAATAAAGAAGGGACCCAAGGCATAGCCTCTTACAGAGCAGTCCTCTGCACATGGATTAGTGACTGCCCAGGGTAGGTGGAGTAACCTGGGACCCGAGAGGGTAAAGAGCCAGAGCTTGGCTATGATGAAGTCAGGAATTTGACCCTTAAGTACCAGGCTTTGTTAATTCATATATTCTCCCTCTCCCTCCTAGTTCATATATCCTCATGCTCCTCCCTCTCCATACCCGCCCACACCTCTTTCTTCAGTCTCTCTACATGTTCCAACTCCAAGAGATTCCTCAAGGTGTCCCTTCAATGCATGGAACTCAGACGCCAGGGAAGTAAGCATGGGGATGATGTAAAGAGATTGTTCCACTCTTTGCTAAGCAACTGGTTGTATGTCTAAGCCCAGTTCACTTAACCCTCTGTACCTATTTCCTTACTGCAAAAATTGGGTAACAGTAAGATTAGCTCTGCTCCCTTCAAAGATGGGTAAATCACCAGAAAAACATCATAAGTTTTGTCTATGTGGGTCATGTCATTAAACTATCCTGTGGACTTCATGGGATAGTCTTTCGATCGTTTTTTTTTTTTTTTTTTTTTTTTTTTTTTTTTTTTTTTTTTTTGACTCCTTGGGGCAGGGATCCACAAACTTGAACTTGAGACAAATGTTGCATACCAACTGGCATTGGGCCACAGCGTCTGCTCTCCTATATACTGTCTACAGAGCAGCAGAGAGGAGCGCTATGACAGGCCACAGAAGCCATGAATACTCAATTGTATTGTCTGGCCTTCCCCAGAAAAGCACATCAGGCCAACACCTTTAGGACCCTTTGTTAGCAAGCTATGAGCACTTGAATTTTCCACAAATTATACTATTTACTATGCATATGTCTTATTTGTCAAAATACGTATGACCTTATACAAAAGTACAAAGGAAGAGAAAATAAGTCAGAAAACTACTCTTTATAAATAATAAAATATATTACACCAATAAAGTCCAAAAAAACCAAAACATACAAATGATTTTTTGACTTTGCTGTGTTTCTGAAGGATCACACTTTACAAGTTTGCTAAGACATCACTTTTCAATAAAGATAAATTGTAAAACATGCCCCTCAAGCCCTCTGATATTTGAACTGAAATGGTTTCCGTTGTGAAACTACTCAATGTAAACAGAGTTTTAAAAAATGTTTAATTGCTCTTACACTTTTGAAAAGTTAAATGGCAATGCCAATCCTCTTATGGGGTGCTAAGGGCTGATTCTGAACTGTTTTTTTGGGTAACTGTGTCGCACATTATATTCTGAGTAAGCTATGTGTAATCTGCCCCTAAACAATTGGGCAACCGCCAAAAAGGAAAGAGTGTGGCATGCGTTAACAAGCAGACTTCCTCTGTTTCTCAATGCCTTCAAAGATTTAGTTTCAAAATGAATAAGCTGCAAGCCAGAAAAAAAAAAAAAAGAAAAAAAGAAAAGACTACCCATTCAATGACTTCGTCATTGCTACTGTAAACATTTGCCGTAAGTGCCAGGAGGCACAGACAATGCTGATGACGACTGAGGAGAGCAGTGAGAAAGGACTCCTGCACAGAAAAGCGAAATGAGAAAGAAAGCGCTGAAGTTCACTATCTCCTGTCTGGGGATGGTTTCCTCCCTTCCTCTCCTTGTTTATAGAAAAGGAGAAGGCTGTGAAATAACACTATTTACTGAGGATTTTAAAAGCCATAAGATGACTGAGAATGGAGGCAGTAGCAGAGCACTCTGCCTCGCATATGCATGGCAACATATCGAATCACCAAAATGACCAGAATAAGTAAAAAATAAACGCCACAGTGTAAGATTTTAGAGGTAAGTTTTAGGAGTCGATATCTATAATCCCATTTATTTGAGGAATGAGAAAAATGGAGTCCCCAAAATCCTAAATGGCATGCCCTGTGGACTCCCTGGACAGCAACAGAACCAAGACTCCAGTCTATTTGCCTGATCATCAATCAGTTCAGTACACTTCACCTTAGACTTGGCTCTCTGGCCTGCTAAGCACTATGTGCCATTTGGCATATAATAGATAAATCCTCCTTAAAACTTTCCCAAGTACCCAATCCTAGCCAGGAAAATGACAATACCTTATTCAATCATATCCATGGCACATACTATTTTTCCAAGTACAGATGATCAATAACACTGCTTCGGCCTCATTTAGAATTTCCACTAACTTAGAGTTAACTAATTTAGAGTTATGCCACAGACTAACTAAGGCACCAGTAAGGGCTTCAGGCTGCCCTTCATACTTTGTCCTCATGAAATGAAATAGCATCCCTTTCCTGCACCCCTCGGACACACACTCCCAAGACTAAACAGCAATATTCCATAAAAAGACCAGATCTAGCCAGTGTTATTATCTGTCTGACATTTCGGTTATTCTTGTGAGTAACTCAGAAAGTAACGTGGGTGTCTGGATTATTTGAGTACACATGGCAAGCCATAATTGGTCAAAAAATAATAAAAGACTTTTTTTTGAGTGACAAAAATACTGTGTTGCATGATGGCATGGCACTATGACAGCTTCAGGAGACCGCAATACTTTCTCCACTTACAAAAAATGCAGAAAAGAAACAGGATTTTAAAAGAGGCAAAAGTCCCATTTATGCAGTCAGTAAATACTAGTTTATATTTAAAGTTCTTGTGGGCTGACAGCAATCCGCTCGTCTCTCTTGTGCAAATTCATCTTGTACATTAATCTATAATTCTGTCCCATGATGCAGAGCAGACACATGGCAGAAGAAACAAGGCTACATCGCTTCCTAAACCGAAGTGCAGATTTTTGACAGTTTATAGAGAAAAAGAATTAGGAGCCCCATTATTTAGGATATGAAAACTTTTCATTTTAATTTCATTACAACATTCCAGGTTACAGGAGTCAAATCTAATACAGATCTAATTTATCAATAAGCTGTTAAAATCCAAAACTAAGCAATGCAAGTTAGACATTCGGGTCTCACCTAGAAACACTCTGGTCTGGTCCACTCAGTACCTTCCCATCACTGAACAGCTGGGGAGATGCTAAATCATAAGGGGAAATATTCTAGTTGCCATTTCCCCAAGAAGCCAAAAATCAGGCTGAAAAAATATTTCAAAAAGCAACTTAAAAGACCTCGTAAAACAAGCACATTCATCTTCAGAGATAGAAAGCTGTTCAGGCAGAGAGAGCCATGTGAACAGAAGAGTGTCCAAGTGTTATATCCTCATAAAACGACTGGAGGTAAGGATAGTTAGGGACCACGCAGGAACTCACCCACTCGGAAGTTCGTGGCTGTCAGGGTGTCGGCTGCATGGCCGTTCTCACTAATGAGAGTCGTGGTATTCCCCTTCTGGCAGCTGTTCTGACAGTTACCCTTGGTGCAGGTCACTTTACAGATGCTCGGAGTAAAGACCACCTTGATGCGACCAGTGTGGTTACTCACTAGGAGCAGAGGCAGACAGAAAAAGAACAACAAACGCATCAGCTTATCCATGAACTTGCCTTGGAAAAATTTTCAACTAAAAAAAAGAAAGAAAAAGGAAAGAAAGGGGCAAGAGAGGGAAAGAGAGCGCCCACAGCCCACAGCCCGACAGGTCTCAGGCAGAGGGGAGCCTGCTCTGCTTGCTGCTCTCTCTAGCCAGTGGTGTCTCTGAAACAGGAGTAGGAAGCTTAACAAACAGAACTCCGGGATGCACTCCAAAACCACATTTGAAGTCGAGTCACTGGAGTGGGATTACTAACCACAATGCTGCACTTTATTCACGGGCAGACAAAGAGCAACATCCAGGGCCAGGCAGATTAAAGAGCCAACCCTGACAGGCAGATGTAAAGCAAAAGGGGTTGGCCCCGCACCTAGTGGTGAATAAACTCCTGTGTCCTCAACTTGCATACTTTCCCGTTTCTCCACTTATGAAGTCACTATTTGCAGCCCGACCCCTGGAAATGTTTTCGGCATGCGGCATGTCTGAAAACATCTGTCTCAAATCTCCTGGCACTCTCAGCTGAAGTGATCACATCCTATGATGCAGCTGTGGGAGCCCATTTCTTTCTCACAACTCATGGGCATCATTGGTCCATATGAGTTCCTACAACCTGGATTTTTGTTTCTTATGTACAGAGCCCATCGAAGAGAAAGTTAGGACCAGTCATGGGGATAGAAGTTCGCCTCTGTTAAAATAGCCTGAGCTCTCACCTCTGTACACAGACCATCTGAAGAGAGAATTCTGTCATTTACAAGGTACTTGCTTAAAAGCCCAATGCTATAATCTGACAGGCCAGCTGAGGTAGCACTGCATAATTGGGCACTAAGCCAAAAATGCATTGTGGCTTTGAGTCCTGGCTCAGGACTCATGTGACTTTGTACATTCCATTTTACCATTTCTCTAAAACATGAAATAATTGAAACTTATATTTTCTAGCCAATCATAACTTTCGAAGTCTCCATGTGGGGCCAGCCAATGATGGCCCACAGGCCAAACCTGACCCACTGCTTTTTGTTGTTGTTGTTAATAAAGTTTTATCGGAACATGGCTGTACAATTGTACACAGCACAATTATACAGAGATTACATGATGTCAACATGACGGTTCTTCACTGCTAGATCTCAATCTGTACTGTAGACTAGTACCCTGTTCTGACTTCTGTGTGCGATATACATACATTAGGGTCCTTCCTCTTCCCCAGTCCTGAAGCATTAAGTAGAGATGCTGGCAGTAACTGATGACAGAGACAGTTTAAGTTTTCTGAGAAACAGTGCCTTTACCCTGCCACTGTTCACAGAATTTCCAAAGGTGATCACGGTCTAGTCGCCCATCCAGTCTCACCCCTGCCCCACCTCTGGACTTTGTTAGCCTGACCAGAATTGTATTTTCAGAAAATCGTCCAGTATGCTTCTAGAGACCCACAATAAATTAAACTGTAGCTCAAATCTGAGCTTAGACACCAAATTTTGACCAGAGAAGCCATTATAATTTCAAAGTTGGAGTGGGACCCCCAGAGGCTTTCCTACACAGTCATGTCTCATTCACTGATTGGATTATAAGCAACCAATTGTCCAGGCTTAATCTGACCCTCTCATGACAGGGCACTCACTCATCACCATGAATCCCATCCTAGGCACAGGGTGATTTCCAACGAAAATGTGTTCTTGCAACTTATTAGTCCTGATAAATGTTTCCCTGTCTCACAATTCCATGTCTCTTCCACGTGGCAGCCCTTCAAAGGTTCCAAGCCAGCGGCTACATTATCACAAAGCCTAAGTAAAAAGTGGTAGAAGCCATCAGCTGTGTTGGCCTGCTCCATAAGATTTCTCAGAAGGTTAAAAAAAAAAAAAAAAAAAAGCCTTTCAGTTGTTTTCAATGGTTTCCAAAAGTTTTCCCTTCCCTAGAGGTTAGAACACTAGAGGTCAAGACAGGTTATTTAAGCCAGGTATCAAGATTTATGCCTGTAAACTTGGGAAACTGAGGCAGGAAGATTGTTGCAAATCCAAGGCCAGCTTGTTCTCCCTAGTGAGTACCAGGCCAGCTAGGGCTACGTGGCCAGACCCTATCTAAAGAAAAGAAGGAAGGCACTAAAGAAAAGAAGAAGAGAGGATAAAGGAAGAAGAGAGGAAAAAGGAAAGAAGGAGGAAGGGAAGGAAGCAATTGGTTTAATGAATAGATATTTTACTTGCAAACAGGCTTCCAGCATCCTTCAAAAATGGCAGTGTATAAGAAGCTGCTATCAGGACTTAAGGCAGAGGTTCACCATCTATAGAAGGCTAGATAGTAATTATTTTAGGAAGGCAGGCCAAAGGACACCATCAGAACCATTTGGCTCTGCTGCCATAACCCAAATGCACCTGTACCAAGCCACATGGAGGGCTGGGAAGGTGGCTCAGCACTCGCTTGTGCTATCCTGAAGGCTGAAGTTTGGATCCCAGTACCCATGTTGGTCAGCCCACAAAAGACCTCTAACTCTAGCTCCAAGGAATCTGATGCCCCTGTCTATCACTCACAACTGCCCCTCCCCTCACACACAGATTCAGACATATAAATTTTTTTAGAGCAGAATGCAAACAGTGAGCATGGCTGTATTCCAGAAAAACTTTATTTGAAGAAACAGTTTGCTGCCCACAGCTTTAAATAGTTACATGAATATTTCAAATTATCTGGGCATCTACATTAGAAATCCAAAATCATGCAATGGAATACAGTCAGCTAAGCAAAATTCTTCCAGGTTTTTTTTTTTCCAGTAGCACAAACAAATCGGCATGGGCTCAATGTTGTCAGATCATGCTTACGAATATCATGAGGATACTTTGTGTGGGCAAGCCGAAGCGCAGGGGTAGGGTGAGGACACATAATGACAGCATCTTCTCCCTTCAGATGAATATAAGTTTCTATTTCTTCTGGTTCATGGTACAATAATGAAATAAAAAAACCTGGTACCAACTGTTCTGTCTTCTCTGGCATTCACTTGTAGCAACAGCAACTGCCGTGTGGATGCCCAGTTCCCTCAATTACGCTTGCTTATGTGAACTGAGACATCCAAAGAGAGTGAGTATTCAGTCATGAGCCCCGCCTCACCTCAGAGCTACAGTAGTCACTTTGGAGGCACTTTAGAGTCTCCCAGCCTATTGTTTTTAAAAATTTATATTTCTTTGCCAAAAAATATGTTTCTGGCCTGTAGTCATCTGGATTTTCAAAAGGGAGAGACAGTTTCATATGACTTAATCCTGATTTTTTGCAACAAGCACAATTTTTCAGAAGCAGAAGATACAGGGTTTTTCATACTTCCCCTTGTGTTTAACAAGCACCCTGCTGGAATTTAATTCTAAAGTAGACACCTGTATTCCTGGTGGGTCCTTTGGTCTCATCATGAAGCACTTAATTCTCCATGCTGTTTAGTTTGAGGCTCCCACACTACTCTCCAAAATCAGAATTGGGAAAAAAATGATACTAACCAGTTATTCAGATTCCTATCAGGACCTCAATAAACACTGAATGGATTCAAAAATATACATGCGTCCACCCCAATACCTGAAAACCATTTCAACCTACTGAAGGAATGATCGTTGTTTGTTTTAAATGTGTGTTTTAAAGATTTCATATATTTATTATACAACATTCTGCTTCCATGTGTATCTGCACACCAGAAGAGGGCACCAGATCTCATAATAGATGGTTGTGAGCCACCATGTGGTTGCTGGGAATTGAACTCAGGACCTCTGGAAGAGCAGCCAGTGCTCTTAACCACTGGGCCATCTCTCCAGTCCTGATTGTCAATTTTAAAGTGCAGGAAACTGTGGTCCACTATTCAGTAAAAGACCACAGTCATCACCATGCAAGAGTCCAGTAGGATGTCACTAACCATAGATGTGGGCTCTCCTCTAAAGGCCACTTGGGCTATTGGAGACATCCTTGTGAGTCAATCACTACTGAATGACCCTTGTGTCCTGTGTCTGGTTTCCAGCAAATGTTAAATAAATAAAAAGTGACTTGGAGCTGTCATAACACAAGGATGACTACTGACCCCTTCATAGGACTGGGATTCACAGGTTGCTGGAGGTCATTTCTGTCTAAGACCTTGCTTCATAATGAGTCCAAGGCTAACAGTGGTCAAAGACCCTGTTGAGATCCATGTCCTGGCTGGAGAGGGCTAATAAATCTGAGAAGCAAAAAGGGAACCAGACAGGAGTTAGCAGAGAGCTCACTGGATAGTTTTCACACTTGTTCTCTCTGACAGAAAATAAGTGTAATTAAAAAAAAAAAAAAACAGAAATCTTTAACAAGCAATTTAAGACCTCGAGTTTTAGAGGCCTTGACTAAAAGTTGAGATTGCCTGGAGCCATTTGCACCTCCACAGGGCCTCATAGTCGTCAGTCAAAGACACACAAGAGTCAACATCATGTCTGAAGCTTCTGCCAGACCCTGGGTGAACTTATACCTCCAAGAAGAGGTTCAGAGCAAACCACAATTCAGAGGAACGGCAAGTGTCACAGAAGTAGAGCTGATATCAGCCCAAGATTTATGTTAAGGCGGGGGGGGGGGGGGGGGGTTTTTTCCCTCCACAAAGAAAAAAAAACTTCAACCCTATGGAAATTGTTTCTGACAAACAGACCTCAGCCTAGAAAAAAGTACAATTGCCATCTTTCAGTCATCGGACCAAGATGTGACCAAAACCCAAAGCAGCCAGAGGAATTAAGTCTAACAAGTTCAAGCCTCACTTCAGGCATCATGCACAAATATGGTCTCCTTAGCATTCACCCAGAATGCTGTGACAGCATGCCAACACCCATACAACTTAAACAACAGGGACCAGCGAGCTCAGGCAACATCCTTCGGGGCAGCCTCTCCGATGAAAAACCATCACCCTGCCATTAACTGAGGCCCATGGAAAGAACACATTAGCTGAGTCAACATAGGTAACACATCCTCTTTTCTCTCCAAGAGAGACTGAGCCAAGTGGTCACGCTGCCACTTGCAGTCCATCACTTGCCCCGGGGCCAAGAATTCTTTCAAATCTTAAAAGTATGGACTTTCCCATTCAGCTCCAGATTTAAGAACTAGAGTACTAAATGCCCACAGAGTGCTCTACATTCTTCAAACAAGGTAGAAATGACCAGTTAACATCCAATCCATTACCTCATGGGGCAATGCCCAGGACTGGAAAAACCCTGCAA